ACAGAACTTCCTGTTTCTCTCTGGGCTCCATTTCAGAACGTGTTGCCATTATTGCAGATAAAATAAACCATTTGCTCTTTCATCTCAGGACTCATGTTGCACCAATTTCCATACTGATAAAATAGTTCAAGATGATCTAGTTTCAGTGGTCCAAAAGGAGCATATGGAGCCTATAGAAAAGCTTTCTCTCCCCTGGAGCTATTGTTGTTTCGCTGATGTGGCTATTTGAGATGCCATCTAAGCTCAGGAATTAATGTGGCATACAGACTCCAACAATCATTGCATCATTGTAATGCAACCTTCTCCTTCCTTTCAACCTGCAACTAAATAATCTTAGTTCATCGCAGGTACACCTTATGCGCTGATGAAAGCAACCCTCCAAACTTTGGTAAAGATGTTTACAATTTCCACTTGTGCTTTAAGTTCTCGGGAATTTGCAACATAAAATGTCATCTGCACAAAGCCCAGGTAGTCCTTGTTTAACAACCACTTATTCAGCAGCTGTTTGAAGTTGCAATGGCAGTGAGTAAGTGGTACAACCAGTCTTCAAAGTTCTGGATGTTGAAGTACCCTGTGGGTATGTAATTGTGATCTGGCCACTGGGCAACTAGCTAGCACTTATGACAGTTGCAGCATTCAATGCTCACATAATTCTCATTTCCAACTGCCATGGTGACTGCCAACTGCAATTGCCATTTATGGGAAACTGGCAGGGAGCACTACACATTGCATTAAGTTGCTCTTGCTGCTATTTCTCCTGAGGAGCCCATTATGAGATCCTAGGGAATACCACCCCCACCCTAGCATTCCATGGTCCCCTTACAAGCTTATTTATTCCTGATATATTACTACACATTCCACCAAGTGAATAAATAAACAAATGAATTAACAAATAGTTTGGCTCTAGGGGGTATGGTGTGTAGTAGCTGACCTTACAAGAAGTCTAAGCTATGTGCTTTTGGGGGAGGGAAATGTCAAAAAACTATAAAAACAATTGGAACATGCTCAAAAGCCCTTCCAGGATAAAAGAAATCAGCCAACACTGGCCTAAAGATGAGTCTTTTTAGAGATTAACAAACTCAATTGGCAGAGACTGAAGTTCATTTTGAATTCCATGTATCTTTCAGCTGCTAAATAGAGGACTAGAAGAAAGAAGTGGAGAGTGTCCTGAACAAATTTTTAAGTGCATGAAAGCAGTTGCATTCAGACACACTCATGCAGAAACATCACACTTCATTTGGCCACACTCCATACTACTCACCTGTCTGAAGCCTGCTTGAAAATGGTGCAAGACATAAACTCCCTGAGGGTTTCCCCATCAACTTGCCTGTTGGAAGCCAGCAGGAAGTCACAAGTCAAAGTCACTTGAGGTCCTCGAATAAAAACCTGAGATCCTTGCTTAACAGCAGCAATGGGGACTGCCAGGATTGCTTTTGCTAAGCAATGGAGTCACATCACACTGTGCTTTATGGCATGTTGCCTAGCAATGGAAATTCAGTACTGTAATTCCAATTACTGTTGTTAAGTGAGGACTACTTGTAGTCTCACAAGTAGTGAGGACTACTTATACGTCTGTTCAATCACATACTCTGTGATGGCTCACAAACTCACAATTACAAACTCAGCTTGCTTTAGTCATTCAGGCCAACAAAATTAAGCTTAACAAGGATGCATCCAAGCAAGCATTCAGCAGTTTCTGTAAAACACCAAGTTGATAGAGAGGCCTCCAATTTTATTTAGCTGAACAATTTCTATAGACACCCATTCAACATACAATTCAAGACAGCACTCATCATTAAAGAACAGTATAATAGAACCACATAATAAAAATACAAAGACGTGTAAATATAAAAAGCGCTGGGGGGGGAAGCAAAATCTTCCAATATGTCATACAAATTCCAGATCCAAACCCTGGGGAGAAAATAATAGGCCTTTAATGCCTTCTGAAAGTTTGGCAGGGTCAGAGCTAACTGGATCCTGGAGGAGGAGGAGGAGGAGGAGGAGGAGGAGGAGTAAAGGTCAGAACAGCAATGGAGAAGATAGGTCTCCTGGGGAATGTAACAAGCTTTGTGTATAGAGCTTGACAACATCAGAGATATTTGGAGATAAGCTGCCCTTGAAGGACTTTATAGATAAGAGCCATCTCTTAAATTACACTCAGAATCAAACTGGTAACCAGTACAACTTTATGCCTATTGCTTCTCTACTAAGCATTGTGTTTTCTCAAATTCCACCTACGCTAGACAAACAAGGCTGCATTGTGCAACTTCTGAACTCAGTAAGTAAATTCTGAGCATAGAATAATGTATTTACTAAATTGCCTGAATATGAATACTGATAAATTAGCCCCTTAGGAATTCAGCCATACTAGTAGATCAATTCATAGTGTAGACATATAACTGCTTAGATGTGAAATCAAGTTGTTGACATTCCAAAAACTGAGTAGATCTTCTAATGATACCAGATTCAATGGTATTAGATATGATAGCTTTCAGTCACATTTATATATGCTATGTTTCAGAGCACATGAAACTGTTTATATCTTTTTTTGTTTGACCCTAAACAGGTTGGCTCAAGATATTTTGCATTTGAAATCAAGGACAAAAGAGCCCTTTCTTTATCTCGTGCAGAAGGCAACTGGATTGGCAGTAGAACTGTATTTGAATGATAACAATGAGATAGCATTGAGCAGTGAGATAAAAACTAAAGGTTATAGACTGGGTTTTTTAATTTATTGGTTTAATTTACTGGTGAATATCCAAGGATTCTTAGAGCGTCTAGGGAAGAGTTTATAAAGTATTCATAGCTTAACCCTTTAATGTTTCACTGACATTTTCCAACAATTGGCCCCGAAAAGTTGTCTGAGATTTTTTTAAACATTTTTCAACTTTGAGCAAAACAATTATGAATACAATGCCCATATATTTATAATTCTCTACTTATTTTCCATATTCAAATTATATACATATACATTAAAAGGTATTGTATTATTGAACCCCTGGAATCTTAGTTTTTAATACATGTTCTCTGAGCAAAACTCAGCTCTAACTTCACATACATACACAGTTGCTTTTTCTTAGCAATAAAAAGACTTAGTTTGCTATAGTCTTCTTCCAGGATATCCTGTCTTAAGTCCTTGAGATTTCTGGTGGTCTCCCACCCACATATTAACCATATTCACCCCTGGCTATCATCCACACTTAAATATGTTCAGTCAGGTACAAATCTGCTTAGGCTGATTATGTATCATCAGGTTGTTAACCCATAGTGACCACACAGATAGTTTTCTATGCAATTTGTTCCTAAAATGGTCCTTCCAAATATGTCCCCCCCCCTAACTGAGTCCATCCACCTTGCTGCTGGTTGTCCTCTTTCTGTCTTTCCTTCTGCCCCTTTCCCAACATTAGAGCTTTT